CTGCAACAAAGAAACACAGTTAACAATAATCATAAAGCATACAAATACCATACTCTACCACAGAAAGAAATAATTACGCTTCCCCGTGGACCGTAATCAGAACAAAAGATAAAAAACTAGGAAACACGAGACTGAATGAAAATGATAATCTATATTCTCACGCAGCGCAAGATAAAACCTGCAGAAACACAACAACAAAACCGCAGACTCATTTAACAGGAGCCGCCGAGCAGAGAAAATCAAGACCTGGCCCTCCGATGACGCAACTCTCGTGGCCATTGCGTCATGCAGTGCCATGCGGATCAACGTTATTCTGTTTAGGGCTATGACTCTTGTAAAATTAATGCACTTTCTGAAAAAAACGCGTCGTATATCATGCTTAAACCACGCGAGTTATGGGATTGCTTGTTTAAGAAAAAATCGGCGATGGCAATAAAATAATATACACTATAACGGTGCGTGTTGTGCTGGTGATATTACAGAAATAATAAAAATCAAATAAATATCATTAACAAAGATAATATTAATGATGATGCTGATGATTACAATAATGAAATATAATGAAATTAAGGAAAGTGATTACAAAATGATGTATGGATAATAAATGCACATGGAAGGAAATCAATTCTTTCATTCTCCTTCTGCTACTTCTATCACTACTACTACTTTTACAGCTGCTATTACTACTACTACTACTACTATTACTACTGCTGCTGCTGCTGCCACTACTAGTCTTGTTGCTGCTACGACTACTACTACTACTACTGCTACTACTACTACTACTACTACTACTACAACAACAACTACTACTACTACTACTACTACTTCTACTACTACTACTACTACTACTTCTACTACTACTACTACTACTACAACAACTACTACTACTACTACTACTACTATTACTACAACAACAACTACTACTACTACTACTACTACAACAACAACAACAACAACAACAACAACAACAACAACAACTACTACTACTACTACTACTACTACTACTACTACTATAAACATAAATAGTCATAATTATTATAAAATCTCTAATGATGATAATGGGCATGGAGATGAAAATTAATCAATGATAACCCCAATCATATGCAACAGCATCAATACCAACAAAGATGACATCAAAAGACTAACATCACTTAATAAAAAAACAAAAATAACAATAACAACGGAGCTACTATCATTATTAAGTGATCATCATTATAACAAGAATAATTATTATAGAAAAAGAGACATTCATTCAGACAATAGTAATAATAATTGCAACCACGATAATAAGGATGACAATAATAAAGACATTAATGGAGTAATAACGACATTAATGATAGCGATAATAGTAATGAAAAAAAATCCCATTTATAATAATACTTAGAGTAGTATTAGCAGTAGTGTTAGTATCTGTAGCAGAGTAACAGTATTAGTAATAGCAATAGTAATAGTAACAGTAGTATTAATAATAGTAATAATGGTAGCAGTAATAACAGCAGCTGTAGTAGTAGTACCAGTAGTAGTAGTAGTAGTAGTAGTAGTAGTAGTAGTAGTAGTAGTAGTAGTAGTAGTAGTAGTAGTAGTAGTAATAGTATTACCTACTACTTATCCGGTTAGCAATAAAAGTAGTAATATTATTAGTAATAGTAATAATAGTAATGCAGTAATAGCAGCAACAGCAGTAGTAGTAACAGCAATAGCAATATTAATAACAGTAATGATAATGACACTATTACTACTACAGTGATAATGATAATAGTAGTATTACTAGTAGTAGTAGTAGTAGCATATAATAATAATAATAATAATGATAATAATGATAATGATAATAATAATAATAATAATAATAATAATAATAATAATAGTAACAATAATAACAATGATAATAAGAAAACATGATAATAATGATAATAATAATAATAATAATAATAATAATAATAATAATAATAATAACAATAGTAGTTAAAATAATGATAATGTAATGATAATAACAACAACAACAATGATAATAATGATAATATAAATACCAGCAAAAAAGCAATAATAATAATAATAATAATAATAATAATAATAATAATAATAATAATAATAATGATAATAATAATAGTAATAACAATAATAAAAACAATAATGAAATAATAATAATGATAATAATAATGATAATAATAATAATAATAACAATAATATAAACAATAATAAGATAATAATAATGATAATAATAATAACAATAATCATGATAATGATAATAATGACAAACGTAATAACAATAATAATAAAGACAACAAAAACAACGTCAACCACCAAATAATAATAAAAATATAGGAGGATTGATCAATAAACATCAATTGGATTATTATCATAACACAAAAACTCTTCAATTTCAATAACAATATAACGATTAAATTCTCTCATATCTGCCCCTGTTAACAAAACCGTAAATATTAAAAGGACGAGAGAATTACCCTGTTTGTATCACTGGTCTAATGCTCATTATATTAATCAACATATGATTAACACAATGCATGTTGAAACACCGTCATGGTTGGCAGTATTTCGGCAAAGCCATTTACTCTTTCCAAATTTAAATTCATGTCGACCTTTGGGGAAAGAAGAGGGATTGGCACCGCGCACCTTCCCGTGGGGTCAAAGTGCACATCCCTTGACCTCCCGTCCTGCACTCACCTGTGGGTCACGGACTATTTTAAGGCTGAGATCAGAGGGACGTCTGTGCTCGTCGTCCGCGGCTGAGATTTCACCGATCGACGCGCGTTATGTTCTCGCGCGGAGGCAGATCAAAACAATACTGGGTACAGTGAGAATGGGGTTTTGCTAAGAGTTTCGTCTAATCACTTCTTTGGTCTGTCTATTGCACATAAATCCCGACAAACAAGGTCCTCGCTGGTGCCTCCGGGCGGGGGTGCTCGCCAGACAAGTCTTCTTCGGGCTGCAAGGGTGCCACGTGGAGGCCCTGAGGTCGCAGCGAATCGGGCAGGGCGAGGCAGGCAGGAGGTGGTGCCCGGGCACTTGTGTCTGGCACGAGGTCAAGTTTGCTTATGATCGGTGCGGGGGTGTAAGCTATTATCACCGACGAGTGCCACCAGGACGGTGCTGGTGCCATCCTGCCGCCACGAGGGACAGACTTTTTCGTGCGTGAAATCAGCGTAAACTTGAATCGAGAGGGATTTGTTCTTTTGACATGTATTCGACAACAGAAATTAAACTTAAAAGTGACAGATAAGTAAAATCACATTCATAATGCTCACGGAATTAAATAATGTATTATTTCATGATGAGGCAGTTGTGGCACTACAGAGTAAGTAACCCAACGGTGGCACTTGACGCCGCGCGCTGATTGGCTGAGGGTGACACTGTCAACCCTCACCGCTCCCAATTGGCTGCCGCTCGCTAGGAAAAACGCGCGAGGCGAAAACATAAAAATTCCATATCTTTTGCCATCTCAGGCAGACATTACCTACCCAGTTAGCACGCTGGATGCCACATGACAAAGACCACAAAGAGGCGCTGTTGTTCAAGTGCCAGCGTCGCTCCCGAATCACAATGTACGCCTAGAACGAACTTTATACGCCCGTAAAGTCTTCAGTGTATGGTTAAGCGGGGATTAGGACCGAGCCTAACCAAAGTTGTCAACAAGTGGCCTCTAACCAAAATAACGCTTCAGAACAAACAAGCGCCTGTTTGTTCATTGACTTTCCACCATGTAACTGAATATTAAACAAATACATTCGTCTCTTAGCCAGAATAACAGTTAGATCTGGCAACTCGACACAATCCTCGCGCGATGGTACGAACGAAGCCAACCACACGTGTTCTCCTCCTCCTGATATCTCCCTGGTACGTCTCCCTCAGGTGATATCTTATCGTACCATAGATAACTCCTCCCCTCCCCCTCCCCCCTCCCCCTCTCCCCCCAAAAAAAAGAGAAAGAGAAAAAAATATGTGGTAGTTTTCGTACTGAAGTTTATTTATATAAGCATAAACACATAAAACCATTAGTGTTTGTTACCCCAGCTGTTTCATTCATTGATTGCTGGTCGCTTGTTTTGAGAAGCGCTTTAACATGCATCATTAAGCCAAGCCTGAAGGTCGGGAAGCAGTCTTGACTTTCGTTTGATGTATTTTTGTTGTTGCTGGATTTCTGTACATGCGTAAAACTAAGACTGATATGACGAGAGATATTGTGAGAATGCAGGTGTGTGCAGCAGAATCAGAGAAAGTGAGAGTGAGGCCCTGAGGGAACGAGTGCGAGTAATATATATACATATATATATATATATATATATATATATATATATATATATATATATATATATATATATATATATATATATATATATATATATATTTATTTATTTATTTATTTATTTTTTTATTTTTTTTTAACAGCCAATCATTCCACTGCAGGACATAGGCTACTCTCAATTCAGTATTGAGAGGTTATATGGCAGTGTCACCCTTGCCTGATTGAATGCCCTTCCTAATCAACCGTGGTTCGGCGCGATAGCACTTGTGCCACGGCGGTGACTACGACACCTGCGTTTGACTTCTCAAGGCGATATGTCGTTTTCTTAGGCTCGAGCAAGCAGTCATAACGCAGGCATTTTTACGACTGTCGCGAAGGGGAATTGAACCCGGGACCACGAGGGTCGGAGTCCAGTGCTCTAACCACTGAGCTATCGCGGCAGTCATATATATGTATATATATATATATATATATATATATATATATATATATATATATATATATATATATATATATATATATATATATATATATATATATGTGTGTGTGTGTGTGTGTGTGTGTGTGTGTGTGTGTGTGTGTGTGTGTGTGTGTGTGTGTGTGTGTGTGTGTGTGTGTGCATATATATAAACACATACATGTGTGGGTGTGTATATGTATATGTATATATGTATATATATCTAACTATCTATCTATCTATCTATCTATATACATATACATATATACATATGCATATACA